TCAGGCAAAGGCCTGATTCAGTATATACTTCAAGGGAAATTTCTTCTCTTATAAATCTCTGTTTCGACTGGCAGAAGAATCTTAAGAGATTCCAGCTGTATTTTGGAGAATTCCAACATTATCACCAGCTATCAGTAATAACTGCTTCAGAGTAGAAGCTGTGCGGAGGAGATACACGTTGATGATGGGCTTGTGTTTATTCCCTGTGTGCCTGAATCTTATTGCACTTTTAACCTGATCATTATTAGTACTTAAGGGTGAAGGGAACATGGTTCTTTCGATGCATATTCCAATCAGGAAAGCAGAGCTGTCAGAACTGAAGGACCCTACCTGGTGTCTAGGTCAGTGGCAATGTTCTCTGATGAGTACCAGCAGGCTACTTCACAGATGGCTGTCTAGAATACATTTTTTTTTATGCCATTGAAAACTTGCACCACAATTCCCTCTCCATTAAGTGATTTTAAAATCCATTCCCTTCTCTTCCCACCCATCACCTTCCTCCCTCAGTCCTGCCAGGGAGGAACACAGTAGATTACAATGGGTTTCCTTTCAATGATAATGCTCTTGACTGACACATCCACTGAAAAGAATGAGTTTGAGTCGAGTAAACATCTCCCTTGAGCAACTACCATAAAGAGGGCTAGTGTCTGCTTTTGTAGATTGTTAACTTGTCACACTAGTTCCTTCTCCCAGTGAAAGTTGTTCTCACTGTTCACTTGTTAACAGTGTTCAAGGAGGAGTCTCAGAGATAGAAGCGCTGGTTCTAGGAGCCTGGCCCATATTTTTCGCCAGCTATGTTTTGGTTCTTGGGGCCCTTGGTGTCAGGGCTGCAAAGATGGCAGTTGATATTGAAGGAGAGTAGACTGTGGAACAACCGTGGCTTCTGCTGCTGTGGGAGGTTCAGAAGGGCTGTACTTGAAACACGCTGTGACCATCTCTGAAATTTTCAGGTCCTTCTAACTTTACATAAAGTTATGTAAATGTGTGTTTCAGGAAGAGCCATTGCAAAATAATACCCTCTGTCATCATAGGGAGAAAGAAGGGTTGTCTCCTTCTGTGCTGTTTACAGCCTCCAAAACCAGCTGTGAGCCCATTCTGTCATGAAGGCAATGAGTTGAGTTAAGCATCTTCTAAGGAGAGTCAGTGGTACAGCAGTTAGGGTGTCTACACGCTAACCAAAAGGTGAGTGGTTTGAAGCCACTAACTGCTCCTTAGGAGAGAGATGTGGCAGTCTGCTCCTGTGAAGGTCCAGCCTTGGAAACAAACAGGGCAGGGCAGTTCCACTCTGTCCTATCAGTTGCTTTGAGACAATTGACTTCACGGCAACATTTTTTTGGTTTTAAAATTAATCATCTTGATTATGGGGGGAAAAAAAAAGAACATGACATCTGAGAGGAGACCTGATCCTCAGAGGCCGTGTGGCGCGGACACTCGTGGGAGCTGGAGCGGTTGCATAGGCAGCGACATGAAGTTGAGGGTGGCCCATCTCCTGCCACACAGGGGACCTTGAGGACCTTCACCTTGGGGCCCTTTCTGGTGCGTTACTGATACACAGCAGCTCAGGGCAAGAGACTGTTGAGAACTTCAGATTTTGAGTACTTGAGTCCTGCGGCTCTGTTTCCAGGGGGCTGGTTGTATTTTCTGGTGGCCCCACCTGATGGAGGGGATTTGGGAAGAGAATTCTTACACTGTCCCCCACACAGCCTTCTATCTGTTTTGCATAATTAGAGTTTACAGGTGGCATTTTGACCACTGTCCTCATTTTGACTCTGGTTCAGGTGAAGTGGCTACCTGCCAGAAATTCCAGCAGCATTCTTTCCTGATGGTCCTTAAATCATCCCGCAGACACCAGGACAGAGGGCCAGGTTGCCAGTGTGTCAGGGCCCCAGCTCAGAAGCTCATACTCCTGGGGGCTTGGGGTGATCCTGAGTGGCCTTCAGCCTCCCTCGTGCCTTAGCCCTGTCTGAAACCAAACACTCATCCTCATTCCGTCTGCTCAATCCTACTCTTTGATGTCTTAGGGAAATTAAAAATGATGCCTAGTGGTATTTACGTGCAGGTTTGTTGATTGTTTTATGTTGAAAAGAGAGGCTGCATGGGGCCCACTCAGCTGTGGTGGGGACTGTCTGAAGAGTTGCTACATAACACTTAGCTAATACGTCTGCGTCTGCGTGAGCTGCTGTGTTTACGTAAACGGATGACAGGAGAGGCACCTCACACGAGAGATGGTTTTCGTTGGCGGCAGGTCTGTGAACGTCTTTGTGGAACAACAGAGATCGTGATTTATTTCACACTCTCAAGGGTTTCTGTCCAGTGACTGGATGTCCATGGGTTTTTCCTAAGTAGAAGCATTTCAGATGAAAGATTACTGCAATTGTTTCAACATATTTTACCTCCTAGGAGGCTGGTGATGACTCAAGAACAGCTCTTTGCTGCCGAGTCAGAGCCAACTCCTAGCTGACTGTCCAGTGGGTTTTCAGAGGCTGTAAATCACATAAGTCAGTGAAAGAGAGGAAGACCCTCAATGAGATGGATTGACACAGTGATTGCAGCGGTGGACTGAGTGGGTCAGATGTGTTGAGGGTGGCACAGGACAGGACAGGACAGGACTCAGATCCTTTGTTCACGGGGTTGCTATGAGTTGTAGGTAACTTGATGATATCTAACAACAACAAGCCACATGGGAGGAGATTGTCCATCATCTTGTGGGTTCAAACTGCTCACCTTTGGGATGGCAGCACAACCCCCTACTCACAAGGTCACCAGAGCCCAGCTTATGAGCAAGAACCATTCTTTCTGAAGGAATCCTAACAAAATAGGTGCATTTACAAGGGTTTGACTCCTCCAGTGACATAGGAGGCCTGGGTGTGTCCAGTTGTGTCATTCACCCCTCCCATACTCCCATCCTTCCTCGCTTGTGCACCAATGACCTGAGCAGTTCACACTTCTCCACCAGCCTTAGAACTATGGTACCAAACCCACCAGTCACCACCAAGTGGGGCCCGGCTCGTGGCAGCCCTGTGTGTCGTGGTAGAACTGTGTGCTCGAGAGTTTTCAGTGGCTGATTTTTCTTTGGGGAGTACATCATCAGACCTTTGCTGTAAGGTACTTCTGGGCAGAATAGATTTGCCATCCTCTGGGTTGGCAGCTGTGCGTTGTTTAAGTCTTACCCCTCGCCCCAGGGACTTTGGTGTGGAGACCACCTACTCCATCACCCGTCACCTGAGATGAACGTTCTGAGATGAACAAGTTTAATGTCTTGGTAAAGAAACCCAGATTGCAGCCTTTACAACTGCTCTCAAGAGAGTGGGCACGGTCAGAGGAGGAAGGTGATTGGGATGTCGTGACTCTCGTTCCTAATTGGACCCTAAAGGTCTCCCTGGTTGTTAGGTATGTGTGATCACCTGGATGTAAACCTTGCTGTGCCCTTGGAGAACCAAGAGAGAACCTTCTAGGTCTGCATTCTGAGAGAAAGCCTTGGCCTAGGGCCAGTTCTCTTCTGGTTAGGGACCATGTGTGCTGTTAACCAGTCTGACCCTGAGGAGAAAGGAGCATTGTCATGGACAGGTCTTCCAGAATGTTCATGGACGTGTTTATGGGCACTGTAGGGGAAAAGGGGCACTTGCGTAACAAGGTTTTTTGTAAACAAAGTGTGAAAGGTTAAGCTGCTGGATGAATTTCTGTGGAAGTTCTAGGAACATCAGAAAGGGGCAGTGTGACTTCAGCCCACAGGCTGGCCTGGCCTCTGTCTTGACTGTGGGTCATTCCTGGAGACTGTGAAGAGGGATTCAGAGTATAGATTGCATTCCCCAAGAATGCACTTCTTAAAGTGGAAAAGAGAAGTAAAGACAGTGGGTTCTGGAGTCAAGCTGTCGCAGTTCAAACCCCAGCCCAACCTCTTTGCAGCTGCAAGGCTTTTTTGAGCAACTGATTTAAGGTCTGGGGGGTGGGGTGGGGTGGGGTGCCTCTCCGTTTCCCCACCTGGAAAGGAGGGATTATGATAGTACCTTTTCTAATGCAATGTTGTGTTAAACTGTTAATGCCCATAGAACAATGCTGAGTAAATACAAAGCATGAGGTGTAGGCTATTAGCCATTATCAGCAAGCCTGGAGAATTCACAGCACAAAATGATGATGTGGCTTGATTTTCGTGATTATCCTTCCTTAATGATTTAAAAACATGGCCCTTTTGTTGTTAAGAAAAATCCCTTGTGTTTATGGCTTTGTAGTATTGGGAAGGTAAAATATTGCATAAACTTAATTGGTAGCTGTCTACTCAGTTACACCCTTAAGGCGTAGTGGTAGGATTGTGGTGTCTACAGCCAACATCAGAGAGTAAAAGAGGGTGGATTTTTTTCCCCTTTTAACAAAATAAAATATCTTTAACTATCTACCTTTTCAACTTGCCATATAAGGTATTGGGAAATTTGTGAGTTCTCCCATTTAGATTATTTTGCCATAGTAGAACGATAATTATACTGTTGATTATTGCTGAAAGCAAAACTGGTGTGGATTAGATGGTCAAGTGTCTTAGGACAGTTTCTATGAGTCTGTGTCTAGGGTCCTGTTGTGGGTGCGCCCATCAAAACCTGCTATGTTTTGGGGGATTCAGCTACTGCTCTTGTCTATGTTGTTACTTTGTATCCAAATTAACTGTTACTTTGTATCTAAATTAGCATTGTCAAGCATAGTTTCACTTGGAATTATTTCCTCCCGAGAGAGGAATGCCTTAAACATTTTTTCCCCACCCAGCGCCTTAATCGTCAGGAACCGTAAAACAGCCCATCTCTAGGGACCCTTTGCCCAGGCAGGTGGACTTGGCCTCTGAAAATATTTTCCTAAATATTATCCAGTTATCCAGTTGCCTTTCATTTAGAAAAGAGTTTGCAAATGTCAGATCTCTTGTCTTCAAAGCGGAATAAACTTAAACTGCTTGGAGTTTAATTCTAGAGAAGATACCTAGCAACACACATTTTGATTAGTGTCATTTTCCACAACAGGGGCGCCGTACTGGACCAACACGGAGAAGATGGAGAAGCGGCTGCACGCTGTCCCTGCGGCCAACACCGTCAAGTTCCGCTGCCCCGCGGGGGGTAACCCCACCCCCACCATGAGATGGCTGAAAAACGGGAAAGAGTTCAAGCAGGAGCACCGCATCGGTGGCTATAAGGTACTTGCTGGCTCTGGTGGACTTTCTCACGTCGATGTTTTTTAAAATGACTTAAAATGTACTTTCATATTTTAAGCTTTACTGTCAGCCAGTACACTCCCTCCCTCCTTAAATTTTTATTTACTCCTCCTTTTTAAGAACTCCAAAGTTTGCAGGGGCTAGAAGGAATATACGTCTGTTTTAAAAGTTGGTTATTATGATAAGGGATCATTTGCAGTGCTCACTGGTTTTGTAAATGGCCCTGGACTCGCATGTCATATTAAAGTACAATCCCCATTTGCATCGTTCTTTATACGGGGAGAGTTTAATGATGCAGGGGTTGAAAGTTGAACTTCTGCTTTCTGTACGCTTTATAGTCTATAAAACTGAAACTGGAACAGAATTCGAGGAGCAGAAGCGAAGTGGGCTTGTGTGAGCTGTGGTAGTAGTCAGGGGGCTCCAGTTGCTAGGACTAAACTGTACATTTGAAATCTGTTGCATTGGTGGATGTGTGTTATTTATGTACAACAATTAAACAAAAAGCAGTGGGTTCGGAGTAGAGGCAGGATTCTGGAACAGTGCTGATGAAGGGCGAGTGCTTTGCACACAATAGGTGCGATGCCCAGCTCCAAAGCTCCTCGAAGGACCATCACATAGCCTCACAAGCTGCTGCTGCTGTTCTTAGTGGTGGTGGTGTGTGCTGTCGAGTTGAAACTGACCCATAGCTGACCCTCCAGTGAGTTTTCAGAGGCAGCTAATTATAGGCGCTATCTTGCCCATTCTCCAGTGAAGCAGCTGGTGGATTCGTTCCGAGTGCCTTTGGGATTGCAGCATAGCTTCTTACCATGAGGCCACATGAGGCAGCACAGCAGCTCTGAGTCATGTGACAGAACGTGGCCTCTTAGGCTGTGAGACTCTCAGCGGGGTGGCTGTGACACAGCCTCCAGGCCTGTAGTGACCAGGAGGCTGGCCAAGGACAGGACACTGTTGTGTTCTGCCTGGTAACGATGATAGTGGCGTGTAATTTAAGGATGGTCGTCAGAATCCTTGTGGTTAACCGACTCTTGTCGATTAAGAGAGGCTTGTAAAGGAGTACAAAGAGCGGGAAGCTCCAGAGTCCCCTGAGATTCTTGGTTGCATGAGAAGTGGAATTGGCGCTGCCTCTGTGGAGGTTTGTGCAGCCCTGACTTGGTGATTACAGGGACACGGGGGCGATGTGAGCCTAATGAGATGCTGCTTGATTTCTCACAGGTGCGGTGCACATCTGATTAGCGCTGGTGACACTCGTTACGTGCAGGGAACCCAGGTCCTAGGAGCAAAATGAGGTGCCCCTTGCATGCTGCCTGGAGCCCGGCCCTGCCGTGGTGTGGGGCGGTCAAGGCACTTTTATCATGTCATGTTGGAGCTGTTTCACGAGTGAAAGGAAATGGAATTTGAGTGCATGGGAACAAAAGTCCAAAGCATGTTTTGCCTTTTTTGAAAGGGTAAAATGGGGAGGAGTTTTGCCCTTTTGGAATGTGGTGTCTGGCAAGGTGGAGGGGTGCACGCTGTGCGCGGCCAGACTGTCTTGGAGAAGACTATGGCATTTGGGGTCCCATGGCCTGGGCGGTCAGCTCTGAGATGCAGAGGTGGTGGGTAAAGTTGGACTCAGGGAGGGATTTTCAGAGCTTCTGTGGAATTGACGGGGAGACAGGGGACGCTTAGAAATTCCAAGGAGCCAACTTCCTGCACCATCTTCATAGTCTGGCCCTAAATCCACCATGACAGCTTCTGGGGCAGCACATCTCCTTGGGCTCCCCCTCGTTTCCACTGACCTTCTCCTGTAACCAGGCATGATGTTTTTCTCCAGGGACTGGAGTCTCCTGGCAATGTACCCAAAGGGCAGAAGCCTAGTTCTGGCTGAACCAGTATCAAGTTGACTCTGGCCAATGGTGACCGGGGTGTGTCACAGGGGAGATGACCCCCTGTGCATCGGAGTAGATGCGTCCGTAAGATTGTCAGTGGCTGGGGATTTTTTGTAGGGAAGTTCCGGTGGTCTCATGGGTAAGGAGTTATGCAGTCAACTCTTAGGCTGATGGTTTGATCCCACCAGTTGCTTCTTGGGAGAAAGATGGGGGCAGTCTCTTTCATGTGGTTTGCAGCCGGTGTCTGAGGAGCTTGTGGGTGGGGTTTCCATCTGCAGCTCCTTTGTTAGTGCTTCATTTGTGTGCTCTGCCTCGAGACCCACCCTCGGGACCCACCCTCAGTGTCCAAGCTGGAAGTCATCAGTGGTCCCAGAGGGTTGGGGGCGTGCCTACCCACCTTTGGTCCAGCCCCCCTGGCTGGATTGCTTTTCTCCAAGCTTGCAAAGGCCTCTGAGTGCCCTAGGACAGTTTAGGGAGTATGGCCACTGAAGTTGAGTTTTCCACTTAGAGTTTCTTGGTCTCCAGCATAAAGGAGAAATGTTCCTGTGAAGGTTTCTTCTCTGGGAACCATGTGTGTCAGCTTGAACTTTCCATTCATTTTTCTGGGACTGAGGCCCTGTTGAAGTGCTGAGGACGGACATCTAAGTCCTCTCCCTTCACCACTCGATTTACTAAGAAGCAATGTTAGGTGTTCCAGAAAGCAGGGATCTCAAAGTTTCCACAAGCAAACGTTTATTATTTCTTGGATTTCCAGCCCCCGCCCCCCCTTTCCTTCTTCGTAAATCGGCTTATTCCGTAAACCTTGCTCAGTTGTTGACTGGCTGTTTGTTTTCTGGTTACCTAGGAACCCTAGCAGTGCAGTAGATGAAGCATTTATTTGGTCTGTGAATTCAAAGGTTGATAGTTCAAATCCCCCAGGTGCTCCCTGAAAGATGAGGTAGGCTGCTTCTGTAAAGGTTGCTGTTAGGTGCTGCTGAGCTGAGCTGACTCACAGCGACCCCATGTGAAGAGAATGGAACCCCGCCCCATCCTGCATCTTGGTCCTAAGTGTGGCTGGGCTTGTGCCACTGTGGTGGCCACTGTGTCTGTCCAATTCACTGAGGCACTTCCTCTTAGCCTCTTTAGGAAATGCGATGTCTTACTTCAGGGACTTGTCCGTCCTGACAGCAGGCCCGCAGTTCGTGGGATAGAGTCTCACCAGCCTCACCTCAGAGGAGCAATCTGGTCGCATTTCTCCCAAGACAGCTTTGTTCGTTCTTCTGGCCATCTGTGTTGTGGTCAGTAGCTTCCCCACCCCATGATTGAAAGACACTGGGAACCTGGGGGGCAGTTCTACTCTGTCCTGTAGAGTGTTGGTGAGTGGAACTGATTAGAGGGCTGCGGGGTTTACCTGTCCACAGGTTGGACACCCCAGTCCCACCTGCTGCGCTGGCGCATTCTTTGGAAATAGTTTGTGCATAAGCTTATCAGAGGGAGAAGAGGGAAGAGGAAAGAGAATCAATGAAACAGGGACAGAAATGACCTGTGGTGTTTCCTGGCAGCTGTGGTTTTGTCTTCATCATCAAGGAATCCATGCTGAGCCACCTTTGCATGATTAAAAGCCATGTTCCCCATGTTTATTGTGGCTTTGTTCACAATAGCAAAGAGCTGGAAACAACCCAAGTGCCAATCAACAAATGAATGGCTAGAGAAGCTTTGGTATATTCACACAGTGGAATACTATGCAGCATCGAAAAACAAGGAACTCATGAAATATTATGCTAAGAGGATGACCCTGGAGGACATGATGCTGGTCATCAGAGGCTGTAAATCACATGGGAAGAGATGGTCCATCTTTCTGCCATGAAGCAGCTGGTGTATTTGAACTGACTGCCTTTGACTTTTTAGTGCAACTGCAAGAATTGAATGTTCTGGGAGCCCTGGTAGTGCCATGGTTACGGCCTTCAGCTGCTAGCCAAAAGGCTGTGGTTCTGAAATATTTAGGGTTTTTGGATGTTTTGATTCTCAGCCAAGACCTGTCGGCTGCATTCCCAGGTCATGCGGTGAGTGATGAGGAAGCAGGTGTACATGAACACCTGCCAGTGTCGGGGCTGTGCCAGCAGCTCCTTGGGACTTGTCACCCGGCCCCTCCTCCACTAGAGCTAGACGAGGGCTCATCATGTGACTGGTGCGGGGCAGAGCTGGTGGGGGCACCAGGCAGTTGGGCTGTGAGATTATTGCTCTCACCAGGCAGGTCTTCTTTGAAAGTGGCTCCATGTTCTAGAAGATCCCTGTCATGATGGATGAGGAGCGTGACAGAAGCAATGACTTCTCTGGAGCACGCATGTCTCAGTCTGGACAGTGCTGTGCAGAGCCACACTGGGTTAAGGAGCTGGGCACCGGGGTGTGGGTGACCAGACTTCTGAAGAGCCGAGTTTGCAAAGTGTGGGGTGTTGGTTCCCTGCCCTCGGAGCACCACGGAGAGAAGAGACTCACCATTTGCCATTCACTTCCTGTCCTTCTGGAAAGCTCTCCAGCTGTTTACTGGGTGGAGGCGTAAACAGCTCCTGCTCCTGGTGCTGGCCCACCCTCTGCCCTGGACACCTCCTGGAAAGCAAACTTCTTCTATCGACGTTGAGCTTAAGCATTAACAGTGCTGGCCTCCTCTTCTGGGAGTTGCTGAGGAGCAGCGGCAGGTGCCCTGGCCTTTGACACAAGCTGGTGAGGGTTGTGCAAACAACCAGAAGGGGCCATTGGGAGCTCTCTCACCCCACAACCTGCTGGAAGATGGGGGCTGGGCTGGGCAAGCAAGCTTGAATACATCCTCATGGTGACTGGTCTGTGTTGCACTGGGAAACTATGAAGGCCAGCATTCAAAGGGATTGGTGCCTTTCTGGAGACCTTGACCCCCAAGGGTAGACAAATCAGTTGAAGGAAGTCTTGGGAACGCCTGTCATTGCATGAGGATGTTTCTGAACGCACAGTGTTTAAGTGCTCGACTACTAGGCAAAGGTTTGTGGTTTGAGCCCCGTGGAGGCACTCTGGAAGACCAGACTGGTGATCGAAAGTCACCCAGTGGGATCGTCCTCTGCATACATCAAGTCACTGATTCACAGGTGACTGAAGGACAAGCCATCA